GAAGAGAAGAGTATATTCCGAAGAAAATAGGACTAGTTAAGTAATATTGTGTTACTAAAGAAATAAAAATGATATTATATATAACTACCTAAAAAATTTACTCTCAAACCTTTAATTAAAGACGAAAAAATATTAGTGGTTCCTTTAATAGAAACTTATATTTTTACCTTAACTTTTTACGATCTTTTTGTTTAGTACTGGTCCTTCAATCATCTTAATTTGCTCCAAAGAAAGTACAACATACTATTCACGTTTTTATCTATTGACAAATATAATTTAAATGATAACTACGATATTTAGAGGAAAAGAATAAATATATCTCTAAGGGATGAACATGTGGCTTCATTTCAACACCTTATTCAATTTTTATTTATATTTATCCTATTTTTTTTATTCTAAAAAAATATCTTTTATTTCAAACGCACCTATCAATCACCAAAATGAAATAACTCTTTCATTTTATTTTTGTTTTTTTTTTACTATAGTGCATCCTCCCAAAAGTTTCAAACAACATACACCAACCCTATCAACAATAACAAAAGGATGGTGTAATGAGTTATGTTTCAAAATCAATTTCAATTAATCTATATCTTCTTCGAAATTATTTTCAATCCCATTCACTAACAGCAAGTCGATTTGGCCTCGATTTAATTATCAAATTTACTTTAAAATCTGAATCTTTATTTCTTAATAGATAGCATTTTCAACCTCTTTTAACAAAAGAAATTAATTTATGTTCAAATTTTTTGATTCAATTACGGATCCACTTTTAAGATTGAAGTTTTATCTGTTGGTGATAGTATTTTCAATCCTTGTCAACAACAACTAACTGAACATAAAAGTTTTAAATATTTTGAAATAAGACTTACATATTTTTTTAAAAATTACTTAAGTATTATAAATCATAATAGCCTTGAAAGATTTATACTACTAATATCAATAATTAATCATATATTCTCAAAAGATTTAATTAAAAAAAGGTAATTTTTATCTAGTAAAAAGTGGAAAAATTTCAGAAAATGACATGACACGTTTTATTTATGTTTCAAATGTCTTTATCAACGCACTAGATAATCACTGCGTGAGCTATAATGACAAGGAACAAATAATATAAAATGAAATCCAAAAAGACTTACTAGCAAAAGTAGAGATGCTTTGGTCCCTAGTTTTGAAATATTTTTATTGATGAGTCATTTGGTAAGTAAAATTTTAAATTTTAAATTTCACGATAACGAATTCAAGTAATAATACATGAGTTTCAAATTCAAATATATATTTAATGAATTTCAAATCAAATATAAAAATTTATGATTAATTTATTGAATTTGATTGTGGGTAAAAATATTAAAAATTGGGTATATTATTGAGATAAAATAACATGTATATTCATTAATTCATACATAATCCAAAAATAACGATAAGAGTATATACAACCTTAAAATATAACAGATGATATTCATATATCATTTAAAATAGTTCGAAGATATATTTATTATTTCTCTATGAAAATATAATAAGCAAAATGATTCTAATTCTCTTTATATACATCACTAATAATCCTTATTATTTATAGGCACTTTTTATTTTTCAAGTTGTTGTTATTTTACTCAGAGAAAAATTAATAGAGAGCAGCTTCCAAAAAATAAAAGAAGAACAAAACGAAAGGGATAATAAAATTGAAAAATGATCTAAAATACTCTTTAAATATTAATAAAATTGAAAAATGATCTAAAATACTCTTTAAATATTGAAATTGGTATAAAAAGATTTTCTGTTAACCTATTGATTTCATAGTGTCATTGACGTTACCTTTATGATTTTATAATGCCTTTTTTACAAACGATCCCATTAGCAATGTAATACATAAAATTCTATGATTCATTGAAAATCTAATCAACTTATACAAATTAAATCTCAATCCAAACCCGAATTAACGTATTTAAACCTGCCCCTACTAAATCTAAATGAAAAAATCAATAAATCATATTTACTCGTTTACCTTTTAAAAAATATTATATTTACTCTTCGTCATACTTTTTTATTTTATTTAACTAACATTCTTTTTATTTATGAGAAAAAGTATAACTATCTTATTTTTTTTTCAATTTTATCTTTCTATATATTTTTTTAAAGCTCGGCCTATTATTTCAGTAGTTGCTTTTCAAAAATTAAATTATAGACCTAATTTTAAGCTTAAAACTTTGTCAATCAATCGTGATAGTATTTCCAATCCTATTCAACAATAATAAATCGAATATAAAAGTTTTAAGTTTTCAGAAATAAAATTTAAATATTTTTAAAATTATGTAATCATAATAATTAACATAAATTTGTAAAAAGATTGTCCTTTCTTAATTTAACAAAATAAATAAGTAATTAGAGACAGTTAAAAAGAAAACCGACAAATAATTAGAGACAGAAAGTGTGATATAAACCTCGGTACTCATTTTCTTTGCCAACCAAAGATTCATTTACTCTCTGGTTTCATCTTAATTTATGTGATAATCTCTTTGATATGTTCGTATCCATAAAAAATCACAATCAAATTGTATTTATGTATATAACATCTATGCATGAGTGCATCCGGGTGAGATACGATATATACAATGAAATATATCTTTATGTGTGCCACTGAGATTGAACTTGAAATTTTCCTATTGATACTAAATTCTTTTTATTTCTGCTATTTCTCATTGTGGTTTAATTAATTCGTTTACTGCTTTCTATTAGAGATTTTTTTTTTCATCTTCACGATTCATTTAAATATTAAAGACAAAATTGATATAGTTAATTACTTGATTATATTTTCAAACACGCTTCTGTAACGACCTGTTTAGTCGTTTTGAGCAGCAGACTTTGATTCTGGAAAAACTGACGGAAACAACGGACCCCACGACGGACCGTCGAGGGGGTCTCGTTTCAAAACACTTAGAAATTTTGATAATTGGGTACTGAAATCGACTCTCTGAACTTCGTAACGGAATGGCAGGACGGACCGTCACAGACTCTTCAGAGAATTGAGTCTCTGAACTCTGTGACGGAGCAGCAGGACGGACCGTCGCAGGCATGATGGCCCGTCACAGGCTGCATAATCCCAGGCGGAGTCGGATTTCTTTAATGTTTTAAGGGACGTTTTTGACTATTCCGCTTATAATTATAAAGTTAGTGCTTTAATATTAATAACTCAATTATTTGGGGGCTAAAAGAGGTAACCTTGAGTAAACTAGTGGTTATTGTTGTCATCTTTTATTCTTAATTATATGCTAATTAGGGTAAAAGAAAGAGGGTTTGAATAAAGAAAATAGAAAGAACACGAAGAGAGAGAGGGGATCGACGACAAAGAGGAGAAACGAGAAAACGAAAAAGGCTTGGGAAATTGCTTGCTTGATCGAAATTCTTCGGTGGAGGTAGGTTATGGTTTTTATACACTATTCGTAGTAAA